AATAATAATAATAATAATAATAATAATAATAATACGAGTAAAAGTAACATAGTTTTTAAGATGGTTTAGAAAGGCACGTTAGAGCGTACCGAGTTGAAATTTTCGATGCGACGAATACATTTCCGAACAAATCGTTCTAGATTACTTCGGAAACATTTTTCGTCGTTTTCGAATATTATTATCGACAGAGTTTGTGATCTACGTGAGATGTAACTACGAAGTAATGTGACTTTCACGAGAAATGAAAACCACAAATTTAACCAAATTCTGTAGCTTGCGATCTAACAAAAAAATATTATAACAAAAATACGCGATAATGTATAAACAAAATAGAACGAGTAGAATACGTATTCAGTAGTAGTCTTAAAAGTGTAATATCAATCGCAGTTTTTTTTATTCTTTTTTCAACTAGTCAATTTTCCTAAAGTCCTAATTTCGTTTTAAGATTTTAATATCCGTTTGAATATTATTTTACTTTAAAGTACGATTATTTGGAATGGTTTAAATCAATGTAATCCTAAATCTCAGTATATTCCAAACTCCGTCGAGCAGAAAACGAACGCGAGATACCGATTTGCCGAACTTTATTAAACTAAAAGTAACTTAATTGATAAAGAGATAGGAAGGGAGGAGGGAGAGAAAGAGAAAGAGAGAGAGAGAGAGAGAGAGAGGAATGTTTGTCAATGCTCGCTACGTGGTAGACCACAGAATGTATAAGTTGCATCCTATCTATTGTTGTTAATACCAGGTAACAACGGTTTAAATTAATCAAGCAACTCAATCAGGTAGTTGTTGGTTCGTATACTCTCTCTCTCTCTCGCTCTCATCATTCTCCTTCTCAGATTACTTGGCCAAATATTGCTGCATTTCTTGTCTTAACACACTTGCAATGTTTATTCATTATTATTTATATTTGCACTTGTATTCATAAAAATATTCTAAAAATCGGTATCTCTTTGACCGTTTCGTATTATTGAGAAAAGATTATATTTTGTCGTTTATAGAGCAATCCACAAACGTTGACACGATTTCCGTTAAACCTTATCACTGAAATTTGATTAAACATTTACAATCGAATAATATTTGAACGTTTATAGAAATAAAAATCAGATTAGCGGTTATTCACGTTCACGTTCGTAGGATCGCTGATAAATTGAAATATCGTTGAGCGACGTTGAAGGGGTGGAAGCGCAACAACACGGTTTAGGGAATTACAAATAAACCGATTAAAAAAGGTTCATCTTGTGTGTTGAAGGAAAAAAAAACCAAATGAAAAAATATATTATGTCTTATACAGATCTCTTGAGAAATGAAAGAAACAATGTCAGAAAGATGGGAACGAGTATAAAGAGAAATATAAAAACGCGAGATTTGAGAGAAAAAACGCGAATTAGAGAGAGAGAGAGAGAAAGGGAGAGAGAAAGGGAGAGAGAGAGAGAGAGAGTGAGAGAGATTGAACTAAAGAATAAATGAAACGATCGATCGCGTTCGATCTTGCTATATTAAGATAAATCGATCGAGAAATATAATAATGGGTGAATGCCGATCGAGGACACTGAAGAGACTACTGAAAAATCAAACCTCGCTAAGTGTCCAAAAAGGTAAGGAACAAAATCAAAAATATACAAAATCTCAAAAAAAAAAAACAAAAGTTATCGCAGATGATAAAACACGGAAACAAGACGAGTGAGAGTAATGATAAAGAGTAAAAAAAAAAAAGAAAAAAAAAAAAAGTAAGAATAAGCTCGTCTTGGGTGCTCTCTCCCACGTTCGTAGATCAGATCCAAATTTTATATCGAACGGTCGATCATTTTCAAAGCAAAACGTATTATTGCTACGTGCACGTATACTTTTTCTTTCGCGCAATACTTTTTTCTTGCCATTAATTTTGTCCTCAAATTACACAACGAAAAACGAGGGAACATCTCTCGTATGTCCATTTATGGATTTTTTTCTTCTTCTTCTTTTTTTTTTTTTTTTTTTTTTTTTTTTTTTTATTTCTTTTTTTTATTGCAATATTTTTTTGGCATTCATTAGAATAAAGTAGAGTAGAAGAAGGTCGATCGATTAATTCGAATGTTCTCGAACGCTTGGCTAAGGAGACCACCGATAAAACTAGGAGGTTTATCTATACGTATAATGGAAAAGATAAGAAAGAGACTTGGCTATAATTTTAACATTAGTAAAAAAAAAAAAAATACATTTGCAAGAAAATTAACGCGTTTTCAGATATATATATTTCACGTGGCGAATATCAAAATTAGTTTTTTTTTTTAAAGACAAGCAATCAAACGTTACGCAAACTTCTTTCCGTATTTTCGAGTTACAGATATACAAAATGTAATTTGAATTGTTTTGTACGTTTAATCTTTTATATATGTTATATTAAAATTGAACTTAGAATTAGAAGAAAATCGTTATTTGATGAATAAAAGGAAAAGAAACGCGTGGGAAGGGGAGTTGAAGTAGGAGTTACAGTACGTAAATACATACATAGATTGGTTTTCTAAATCGACGATGAATACGTTAGTAGGTAACGTCGTCATTTGACCTCAACGAAGCTCGAGTTTTCGCACTTTGCAAGTCAAATTCAAACGGAGGTCTTGCGTTCCCTAGCAGTAACAAGGAAGGCCGTAGCGTGGTTAGTTTTCGATCAGGAAATTGACCAAAGTATCCTTAACAAGACTTCAAATCACACTACCCACGTTGTTACTTTTATCACGATCGCGGCCTGTCTGTTTTTATTAACATTTATTTACATACGTGCGTTACGGTTTAATTATACGTACATATGTTATATAATATATTACGATTACAAGAATAATCGAAGAGAAATAATAGGAAAAGTAGCCCCCTCCTCCTTCTGCCAAGCGTTCGATCGAATCTCGATGTAAAAAAAAAGAAAAAAACATGAATTATTGTATACGATCGGACCAACCAGCGAAATGTTCTCTCTATACCTATATGCATATCATCTATGTATGTATGTATGTATGTATATCGTTTCTATCTAACCGTTCATTCTATTCGAATATTTCGCTTGGTCGTTTCTTTTTTTTTTTTTTTTGTTGTATAAACACAAAATTGTCCCTTCAATTAAACTCGTTCTAATTTAATGTTACAAATTGCTTATTCTCACATTTTATCAATTTTCTACGAACAATGCTTTGAACGGTTATTAATTATCACGCTTAATAAATTCTATTCATTTAAAACCATGCCTTTTTGATCGAACTTTAAATTTTCAACGATCGTCGTTAATAATTATCCGACTTCGACAATTTATTCTTATAATGTTAATTTACTTGAATTTTCTTTCCAAGTATATTATTTAGATTTAAATTAATATTATAATTAACATATTATTTGTTATATTTTCGAAGTCGGAAATTCGAGTAATAATTGTAAGAGAGATTCTTTTGGTTGTAGGTTCTGTTAATGTTTTCCCGATGACAATGTAAATTACCTTGAAATCAGATAGATTTGACGTATAAAAACTAAGATGAAACAAGACGCTTCATTTTTGAGATTATTTTGGAATAATAATAATAAAAAAAAAAGAAAGTTATCTGAATTCAAAGTAAAAGTGTCTATCCGTCGATCGTACGCGCGTCGAGGATAAGTTGGACGAAATTTGTTGTAGTTTCAATTAACTTCTTAATCTTTTCTTTCCTTTTTTTTTTTTTATTTTTTTTATTTTTTTTCTTTTTTTATAAAGAAAAATACTCGACGCGCGAACAGACGTATAATCCTAACGCGAAGAATGTCAGTTTTTGAAGAGAGAGAAAGAGAGAGAGAGAGAGAGAGAGAGAAAGAGAAGAAAAAGAAAAAGAAAAAGAAACTCGAATCGATGTACACACACACACACATCGAGTACTATCTACTCATTATCATAATTAATATCAAACAAGCATAGCATTATATTATAATGAAATTAACGTAGTGCATCGTTCGAGTATTCTTTTTTCAAATATTCGACTCGTGCGTGGCCGTTAACTATTTCAAAATTAATAATACATTTATTACTTAACATATATCTGATAATTTTGTAATCGCGAATTTTGCACGAGTCGAGACAATTTATTTTCGCGTTAAAGAATTAATATAAAGCATTGCTAATACAATATTTTCCAATTGACAGGTGAACAATGCAACGGCGAGAGTGCAGACGAAAAAACCACCGACGGTACCCAACGGTAGGTTCAAAAAGAATTGTTGTTTTTTTTCCTTTTTTTTTCAACTATATCCAAATGTATCGTCGATACAACAGTGAGTATTTATCGATTGTTATCGCGTTTGCTAAGATAGTAACGTGACTCGCAAGGTTAATCATTGTTATAAATAATTAAATGATCACGTTACCCTGCCAAGTGTTTCTTCATTCGAATGCGTCGCCATTTAATTATAATCACATATACTATTCGTTCTAGTTTTTCTATTCTATTATACGATAAACATTCAATTGTTGCGTTCCATTTACGCGAATTTAAAATATTTTACAAATGAGTCGTTGAGTTACATAAATCGAGAAGGAAGAAATTAATCGTTAGACTTGGAAATTTAGATCTCGATAGCTTAACTCACTAATTAAATAGGCCAAAAATTCTTTTCGTATTAATAGATGGGAATAACTTTGGTATCATTAATGACAATAAATTGATAGATAATTATATTATCCTCCCTTCTAACCTATCTATTAACTATTTTCCAACTAGATCTAATGCGGGAACGTAAAAGGACCGGAGCACATTTAATTATAGAATTATTTATCCAATTAATCGATCCAACATTTTTCCCCCTGTAAGAGCGTAAGAGATAGCTCAAAGTCGTGATGTCAATAATAAAGTTTTCACGTTTTTTTTTTTATGTTCAATGTATTTTTGATAATGAACGTATGTTGAAATAAAATGTTTGAAGGGAGGATATAATAATCCAATTTGTTTTTCATTTCCAACTAGTCAACGATAAATTTTCCATTTCGGTTTAATCGAATTTCATTTCACGTGGAGTATAATTTATATCGTAAATTTATTAATTCGGTATCCGGCCGGTTTATAAGCCTTCATCATCGACGTGGTGATTAGAAAATCTAAAATGGGGAAGAAAAGTTCGAATAATTGTGTCCACCTTCCGTTTCATTATAGAACCGTTTTGCCGAGTTGATACAAATGGTGACGAGGGAGGGGGTGGTTAATCACGCAATAGTACGATCAATCTTTTACGTTTGTCGCACCTTTCCAAACTGAAACGCCATTGTTACGCTTTCCAACATGGCGAACAATTATCATCGAAAAAAATAACAAAACAAACAAAAAAAAAGATACTAAAGAAAGTAAAAAAGAAAATTGTTTTCTGTTGCAGTTTGCGTTCAATGGCCAGAGGGTAGGTGCATCCACGACGTGTCCGAGTCGGCACTGCTGATTCTCTGCTACGAAATCCGTGAAAATTGCCACGGATTTTCGTAAAGGCGACCTATAAACAAACAAAAAAAAAAAAAAAGACAAGGCAACGACGTTAATGAGACGACGAAAGACGGACGGTGTAAAACAAAAAAACTACGAAAAATAAGCAAAACAAACAAACAAACAAAAATAATAAGAACAAGAAAATCTTCTCGGGCAAGCCCAAGAAAGTGACTAAACAAAAAAAAAAAAAAACGCAACCGCTTTCTTGCAAAAGGCGTACCATAAAGTTTTCTTCGTATCGCTAAACGGGGAAAGAAAAAAAAAGTAAAAAAAAACATACGTCTCGAGTGAAGGAAAGAGAAAAGTTAACCAACACAGAGCCGCCACATACCACGACCAAGCCAAACAAAACAGCCACGAATATGTTATAGATACAAAAAA